TTCAAAAAACATTTTGATGATCAATCATGTTTTCAAGTATCCATGCTCATTTCGTTGGGGTTGCATTAGCAAAGTATCACAGAATGATCGAGAAAAAAAAAAAGCAAAATCAATATTTTAATCAAAAAGCACACCACCAATTCTTTGTTTATTTCTTCCTTCGTAAACAACCTGGTTTTTTTTTTTTTTTTTTTTAATTATAAATATTATCAGATTTATTTAAGTAGTATCAAATGGGAAATAATAATTGAATTCCTCTCTTAAAAGCAATTTCATTTGCTTATAGATTTATTCATCCCGTAACCAAATATAGCACAATGCATACTCAATCAAATATCAGATTTGATATTCAATCATATTTGAGAAATTAATTGCAAGCAATCGAATAATAAAAGAATGAACTCATAGATATTAAATAAAATAAACGATGTGCTTATATGTGAAATGTACCTCAGAAGAAAAGCAAATGGAAAATTAAGGACAGCAAGTGTAGCAATATTAAAATCACATCTTAGATGTTCCATCTATGGACGAAAAGTAATACAACAGAATAAATTGTAATGTATAAAAACATTAAATTAAAAAAAAGAGAAAAAAAAAACTAGAACATCATTGAATACCAGTTGGAATGAAGTATGAAAGCTTAAATTTCATATCTTGAGAATATTATTAAACAATAGTTAACTTGCATCACTATTTGTACAATCAAATAGTGATTATGTTAATTCAAAAAGTTAAATAATACTATTCGCAAAAATAACACTCAATTTTAGTATGCAGAGAAACAATGCATAATGTACCTATCTTTTTGATTTTAAACAGGTGTCTAGCATATAAGTTAAGCTAATCAAATGTTTCAACAGAAAGAAACAAAGGCGCATGATAAAAGAATAAAAGAAAAATGAAGCACAGGAATCAGCTCTACCAAAATTGTTTTACTCAAATGAAAAATTGTACAACATTCATGTATGCAAAAGTATAATTCAATAAAAATTTAAATAAGGCCTTAAAGAAGAGCTAAAATACAAGCAGCAGCAGCAGCAGCATCTGTATATTTTATATTTTCAAAGTTAAGAGTAAAACATAATAAAAATTCAAAAAATTCAACAGGCATCTATACTTATCGCTTCCATCATTATTTCTTGCCTTTCTTTTTATTACCATGTCCTATTATCTTTGAAACGTTCACGTCTACATTTTTAGCAGAAGATTTCACCGCGTCGCTCGATGAAGTTTGCATTTCTGGACATATTATTTTACCAAAACCTGGTGGTGGACCAAAACCAGGAGGAGGCGCTAAAGTCATTGAGCATAATCCGGGAGGTGAAACAAAACCAGTTGGAAAATAGCTCCTATTATTTTCTGATTGTTTCTCAAGGACCTGAAAAGAGAAAATAAATAAACTGCATAAAAAAAGCTACTTCTAAGAAGTTTAATATAATAATCAGACCGAATCCTGCTTTATGAAAACAAAATAATTAGCTTTAAAAAAAAAAAAAAAAAAAAAAAAAACTAAAGATTGTGAAATATAACAAATTTTGAACCATAATATACAATTTTTAAGCAAATCAACTAAGAAAGAGAACTTACTACAATTCGCAAGCTGCTCAAAAACCTACTTTTTCTCCTTTTTCTCCTGATCTTTCAAGAAGATTCGTAAAATCCTTAAACGATAATGCATTTGCAGCAGTTGTCTTCACAGGCTCACTTTTATCTTCTTTTGTTGTCATGTTATTCAAAATTGAGAAGGTTGATGATGAACGTAACTGAAATTGTTACTTTATATCAGTAATGGTGAGTGATAAAGAATATATCTAACCAAAGTTATTATAATATGATAGCATATATTATCAAAAAATAATTATATATATATATATATAAAAACTTTAAACTTAGTTATATGAGACAATTCATCTGAACCATTTTTGAATATATGGAATGTAACTTAAACATCTTGCTGCAACAGCAAAATTGAATAATTTTATCTACTTCTGATAAAATGAATGATTATTTTATCGTACATACCTCTTCAGTCTCACTTTTCTGATTAGTTCGAGAAGATAGAGATGGGAAAGGATCAACGAAGTCATCATTTATCTCCTCCTCCATCTTCCTTTTCGCACCCTATAAAAGCTTTGATTATTCTCATTTTTTTTTTTTTTTTTGATAAGCATCATCATCATCATCATCATCCAGTTTCTTAACAATTGCAAATTATAAAATTACTAATTGATCATCCAGTTTCTTAACAACATTGCGTTGCTGTTTGTTCGTAGTCTTTTTACACTCTTTTTTCTTGCTTGATGTATCCTTGACAATAACCATATCTTCCAAAGTCATTTTCGATAGTGATCCCTTGAAATGAACTGGGGATAATAAATAGATAAAATCGAAAAAAAATAAATTTAATTAAAACTTATATTTTCTAAAAAGCTTCTTTACGAGTCAAAAAAAAAAAAAAAATGAAAGCAATTATAAAGTTAACCAATGTAGATGAATCTTCCCGATCCTCCCACTTTTCCGGTACAGATTCTTGACGCCAAAGATCTAGCAATGGTTGTTGCTTATTTTTTCGTGAAACGCTACTAGTGACAGATGAAGATATTTTCGGTTGTCCGGAAGATGTCTGTAAATAAAACGACATATATATGCAGCAATTACTGAACTATTAAATAGAAAATAATTTCAAAATCTAAAAAATTCTAGGATAGAATTGGATTCGCTATTACAACATTTACAGAATAAATTAGTTTGATAACTAACAACATGATCTTTTGTTAGAAAATCTAAGATATAATCTAATTTGCATTGTTTTTCTTTTAAAGGAACTAAAAAGAATTTTAAAATATGATGAAAAATAAATTTCCCTTCTATTGTGTCATATCCAACATAAAGCCAACTACATAATATTGAATAATAACAGGATCCAATTCGCATGCTCAGAACGTTCTCCATTTCTGTTAAAAATATTTAAAAATAAAGCACCTGCATGACAGAGTGACTCTTTTTATTCCATACTGATCCAGGCAATAAATTGTTCATAGGTTTTTTTACTGCGGGTGTCGGTAAACTTGGAAAATCACTTAATGCTAATTCGGATGCTACGTTGCTTAAAGACATTGGTTTTTTCATTGCTTTAGACCATGCTAACTCGATCGCCGATGTCCCTGAACTAGTTTCAACCTAAACAAATTAAGAATTATGTATATCAAAAGGATGCAGAAGTATAATTAATAATTTCGATATAAATATACTCTTAAGTACTGCATCTTGCCAGCTTCTTGATGAAAATTTTCCACCTTGGCTTGAAATACAATAAATATCCCTATTACATGAGATGTCATATCACTTGCAATGTAGTAGAATTTCATTTCTCGATTTCTATGGGTAAATAAAAAATATATACCTCAACTTTATTTTTCATGAAATTTTCTGTTTCTGCGTTTTCCGTTTGCTGTTTATTTAAAGTATTTAGATGTGACCGATGAGAAGGGAACTGTTCATCATCATCAATAAACCACGACCTTGAAGAAGCAGCGTTTGGCTAAAAGTATGACAATTTTATTGGCACTGTAATTTGTGAATGTCTTTCAAAGAAATTATACATGCCAATTTAAATAATCTCTTTGTAACAAAAGCAAATTTAATGACTAACTTTGCGAGGATTTGATGCAGCTTTGGTACTAATTGCGATGGTGTTTACTGTCTGAACTTTTGCAGTATTCTTACTATCCATCGGATTCGATGAAGGCACTGGATTCGAAACACCGGAAATTCGTACAGATTTTTCTAAACGAGGAAAATCGCTACCTTGTAATGTGAATTGTGGAACGCAATTTGGAATGGATGACCTAGCTAATTCTTCATTTTCTAATGAAGATGCATTCGGTATATTGTTGGAAACTGACCTGAAATAATGCGCTCATTACTCATTTTAAGTAGACAAAAGAATATAAAAGTTATACTTTCTAAAATATTCTTTTTGTTATTTGAAAATAACAGGAAATGAGGTATAATAGCACCGAAAAAAATTCCAAAGTTTTCCATAACTGACTATTACCAAAACAATTTTTATTCTCTTACTCCACCAAAAACGAGAAAGCAAGCATTAAGAAAATCTCCAAAGAAAAGCTATATCCAGTTGTAAACCGGAAATGATAGTGGCATAGGGTAATTTATTCGACTAAGCCATTCACTTGTTCCAAAACAAATTAGTGCAAATGATATCCTATATCTATATGTATCTAAATTTACAAATTTATTAAAATATTAAATGTATGCCTGTGAGATAAATGGAACTAACTTATTCTCTCGTAAATGTCGTTCATGTGGTATATAACCTGCTACTGCTCTACCACCTCGACTTGGTCCAGTTGTGTTTCGGTCAGAGAAATGAAAATCTAAAGCTAGTGTTTGCGGACCAGCAGCATGATCTCGACTCTGCAAAAGCAACAAAGCATCAAATTGTGAATATTCTCTGAAGAAGTAAAATAGCACTGAAAGCATTTCAATAAAATATGTGTCGACACACAACAACATTCAAATTAATGCAAAAATTAACTGAAAATTTTGACACTGATTTGAATGTTATTGTCGCACTCTTACTGTCCATACCATCAAAAACATTAATTACTCTTTTACAAAGTCGTAGTAGTCTGCTAGCAACTTTTATTCGTAACACAGATTATTCTATATAATTTCTTTCAAATTAATGTGACAACATAATAGTAGAAAAAAAATTTAATTGTATTATATGTAAAATTTCTGAACAACAGTCTAAAATCAAAAAAAATTTAACCTTATGTATTTTTAGTTCGGTATCTGTTCGAAATACTATTCCTAAATGTAAGCATTCACCCTCCTCGCATACAACATGTTTCGCTTTGTAATGACTCAACAAATCCTTATGTTGCCTAAAATAATGAAATTCAAACAGATAAGCGAGACAACATTTTAACATGGCTTACAATAGATTTAGTTTATTGTAAAGTAAACTATGATTACGGAAAAAAATAATTGCTTCGTCCTTCAGCATCACAAATCTGGCAAAAGAAATGCTCTTTACGAAGATGTTTATAGCGAAACTCTTCATCCAAGAAACGTTTTTTACAGAACAGACATTGTGGATGACCTGAAAATGAATCAATTCAATTTAATATGCCTTCAAAGAAATGACTTTTTATATGTACACAAACTCTTGTCATTTAAAATTTGACACGTGAACAGAAATAAGAAATGTGCATTTATTTCACAAAAAATAATACATTTTGAAATGATCTATATTTTCAATGCTATCTGTATGTCCTGAAATATTGGAACTTTTTATAGAACTCAGTGAATGAAGGTATGCAACCAAACAAATACTAACTAAAACGACATATTGAAGACACCCACCTTTAAAGCTCTTGTCATCAGAATCACCAAGTTCCAAATGTCGTTTCAGATCAACTTGAGAATAAAATTTCCGCTCATGAGTAAATAAGTTTAAATTTTCCACACAAATATCACAAAATTCAAAACGATGAACCATATACACATGCTGATTCAACTGAGCAAATGTTTCAAATACCCTTTTTTCACCCCTATAAATTAATTTGATTTTCTAATGCAACGAGTTTATGATTTTTAAGAAGGAATTAAAAAAACAATTTGAAATTTACCTTTTTCTACATATTATGCATTGATGGGATAAATAGCTATCGTAACATCTTGCAACATAATCATCTGCCAATTTAATTTTGTACTTTGCAGTATCCTCATGTTCTATACATTGAAATGGTATTTGGTAACCATTCCAATCACCCGGAAACGGCACAAAATATAACTGAAATTTTATGTATAATATACAAGTTTTTTTTTAGTAGTGTCTTTATTAGCTGCCTTAGTAATAGCTAAAACCAAAAACCAAAGAATGTAATAAGAGTATTTAAGAGGCACAGTATTTCGAATCTTAATTGATACGACATAAAATTGTAAGAGAAAAAAAAATTAAATTACTATATCGATAACAGTTCTGCATTTTGGACACGTCTCATTTTTACACAAAATTCGTAGTCGAATTCCGCATTCTATGCATATAGGATGTAAACACGACCCAACAGCAAATATATCAGATTCACGACAACATATATCACATTCTGAAGTCTCGCCTCTGAATTTAATACCACCGTGATCCAACCGATTCTATAAAAATTATTGTTCATGTATGCAAACAATAAGCACTTATTAACAACTTACAACAAACTTACTAAAGTAGCAGTAATATGTTCATAATATTTTGGACTGCGAATCATATGCCTTCTGGAGTTTGCATCATGTCTATCTCTTCCGCTGCCCGTATTATAAAAATTATGACGATTCCGGTCATTTCTCTGATCTGACTCTTGAATTTTACCTCTACCACGACCATAATGTCCAACCATACCTCTTCTAAAAAGGGATTTTTCAATTTCCTATTCAATTCATCTGAACTTTACTAAACAGAGTTCCTGATAAAAATCCTTCAACGAATCTCTAATTATAGTATCATGTGACAATATAGAAAAAAGTTAAATGAGCTCAGAAGATAAAGTTATATTCACAAACTATCTGCACTGATGCTTTACCAAGTTTGATAACTGACTCAGAAACTCTTCTTTGAACACTGCATACCATAATGCAACAACGATTTCGTGACCGTTACCATATACCTTACAGTTAGAAAACTTTTGTGATTTCTATTTCTTACTATCTACTTGTAATTGGTATGAGTTTTCCGAAACATTAGTTTAAGCAAAACACAAACCTGTTGCTGCTACTAGTAGGTTCCTGTTGCCCACGTCCATTATCCCTTGCACCGTAATTTGCAGTGTTGCTTGATCGTTTTGCAACATCTTCTAATTCAGACATAATTATACAAGTAAACTAAAATATGAGCTATCCCTGCAAAAAGAAACAAAGATATTTAGAATAACGAAAAAATATCAGAATATCGAAGGATGGTCAGTGAAGGAAAAATCGAAAAATGACAAAACATTTAGCATTATCAGATAATACACTCAATTTCCTTACTGCTTGTTATGTAATAATAATGTAAAAGCTAACTAGTGCATAGTTCAGTTAACGTTCTCTACAGGCAATCATGAAAATTATTATGACAATATAAACTTTTCTGAAGAGTAAGGATGATTAGTAAAATAGTTTAATCAGTTAATCCTAACATTTATGGCAATATAAAAAGGAGAAAAGCTTTTGGTCTCAACGAAAGTACGATAATCCAGCAAACCTATTATATCTAAACTAAACCTGAACTATATACAAGCAACAGTTTAGAAGGTAAATATTACCTGACTCACGTGCGAGACGTGTAAATCACGTATAAACTACAAATTGTACCACCGACCAATACACCCATTTTTATACGTTCACAAACTGAAAAAAGTATTTCCAAATGGTTTGGGCACAATTTGCTAAAATTTCATCCGAAACAAAGGAATGAGAAGGGCAAATAATTATCGCAAACTGACAATGTGCCTGCCCATTCGATTTATACCAGACGATCAGAGTGCACAGGAAAATATCAGAAGGATTTTCTCTTACAGTCTGTTATGATATGTTTTGGCGTGTGCTACGTGTATCACGTGGGGTCACGCAATGGATTAGTCTAAAAGAAAGCATATACGTGAGATCACGCGATGGATTAGTCTAAAAGAAAGCATATACGTGAGATCGCGCGATGGATTAGTCTAAAAGAAAGCATATACGTGAGATCACGCAATGGATTAGTCTAAAAGAAAGCATATACGTGAGATCACGCGATGGATTAGTCTAAAATAAAGCATATACGTGAGATCACGCAATGGATTAGTCTAAAATAAAGCATATACGTGAGATCACGCGATGGATTAGTCTAAAATAAAGCATATACGTGAGATCACGCAATGGATTAGTCTAAAATAAAGCATATACGTGAGATCACGCAATGGATTAGTCTAAAAGAAAGCATATACGTGAGATCACGCAATGGATTAGTCTAAAATAAAGCATATACGTGAGATCACGCAATGGATTAGTCTAAAAGAAAACATATTTTTAGATTCAAAATAAAAAAAAAAAACAACAAAAAAGATAAGTAAAGTGAAAATAAAGTATTTTCTAAGTATTTTCAAAAGATTACTGTTTGACAATTCAGAACTGAAAGTTTTTTTCTTTTTCTTTATTCATTTATTTCTAATTCTTTGCTAACTTAAAATGCTCAATAAGAATTATTCAGCATTTTTCATTTACTATCATTTCAATTTCATTTTTATTTATAATTTACATTTTTTTTCAATTTTTTTCTTTTCCATTATTTCATTTTTTATTTTCACTTTATTTATCTTTTTTTTTTTGTTGTTTTGTTTTCTTTTTCATTTCATTTCATTTTTACTTTTTTTTTCTCACTCATAACTGAATTCTAATTCTAGCATTCATTCCTTTCAAAAGCATTGCCAATAAACGATCAATTCATGATGGTATCGATTTATCATATTGCTGTCATCGATTCATATATCACTTAGTATAACATTTTTTTTATTTATGATATAATTAAACTAGAAATGAAACTGATCTGATATGATTACTTCGAATTCATAAATCTGAATAGTTTCAATGTGAATAATGAATTTGAATAGTTTCAGTTATTTTAAAAAAAATTTAAAAATTTTTAAATTAAACCTTACTGTTGTCAGCGTAAAGAAGAAAAAAAAATCTAACTTTCTTTTTTGAAATTTAATTTTCTCAATTTTGATTTTAATTCATATTTATTTTAAAATTTTCCTGTCACTGTTCTATGTTCATGTCAATTCCATTTTTTATTGGGTACAATTAATCTCAGATAAGACAGTTAGATTTTTTTTTTTTTTTGAATTTTACATAATGAAACTTTTTTCTAATAATCCCTTCTTCTGTTAATTTTAATTCCTTTTTGAAATTTTATTTTCTCACTTTGATTTTATTCATATTTATCTTACGATGACATATAACATCTTTAATCGAGAGAAAACATTAATTGTATGGTCGTCTTTCTTAATCTGAAAACAAACATTTCTATTCTATTAATTCAAGTTATGCTCCATTGCACTGGCATAACGATGACTCAAAATAGATAGATGTCCATCGAAAATTTTTGTCACCGATTCGTCGCTTATAACAAAGACATATTGTCGCCATTCAATATTGTAAAATACAACTTTCTTTACCAAATGTATCTTATGATGCCGAATAAATTTTATAGTCACATCGATTACGGTAGTAACCGGAAATACTTCCATTATTATTTCATTCGAAAACTGAATTTGTCACTGTATCTTTCACGAATAAGCTCTCATGAAATAGATATTTGTATAGTTGATATTAACATTTAAATTTTTCTTTTTTTTTTTTTTTTTTTTCACATTTAAGGAAATATTGTAAGCATAGAATGAAATGTTATCAGTGTTAATTATTTATACAGAAAATTTTAAATTTTTTATCTTTCTTCTAGATAAAAAAAAAAGAAGAAAGAAATGAAAGACTTCAAACTTTTCATTTTTCTTCTAGATCACAAAAAAAAAACAAATGAAAGAGTAAGTTTTGTTGTATGATTTAAATTTACATTTTGTATTTAATAATTAATTTCTTGAAAAAAAAAAAAGAAAAAAAGTCTTCAGATATACGAAAACTATTTATTCATATTAAAGTTTATAAATTGCAGTTATAAATGTTTAGTATATTAATTTGCTAAGTATTTAAATGTGTGGTAGATTTAAGATTTTTAAAAAAACATTGAATTATTAAATTATTTCATTTTATTTTTAAAATTCTCCAAATTATTACTTACTTTCAATCAATTGTAATAACAAAAAGTAATAAAACCCTCTTAAATGATTTCATTGAAACCATCAATCAATGCATACTAACAATTTCTAACATTTTACTACAGTGAATTCATTTCAATGACTAATGCAAAATGTTTATTACTAACCTATCATTTTGCATTTACTATAAGTGATGATAATTTGAGTGTAAGATAACAATTATTTGTAGTGAGAGAATGAAAAAAGAGGGAAATAATATGGTAAAATGGATGGAAAAGAAACAAAGGAGACTGTAAAAGATATTGAATTTAAAAAAAAAAATTGAAAAATAACATTGAAATTATACATACATTCTATCCATACTGCACAAATTATAAGTTTGATGAGAAATGATTATTGTGTATTTGTGTGTGTGTGTGTGTGTGTATGTCTAAGTATATGTGTATGTGTATGGGTATGTGTGTTTGTCTGTGTGTGTATGTGTGTGTGTGTGTGTGTGTGTGTGTGTGTGTGTGTATTTCAGTGAACTAAAAAAAATTCAACTCATTCAAATTTTATTTATTTTTTCACAAAAATTGAAATAGTTAGTTGAATGAGAAGAAAAAAGAATAATGAAAAGGGAAACATTTACTGAAGTACGACAGCATTTCATTGTTATTATTATTTATATTATTATCATTATTATTATTATTGATAGTTATTGTTATTATTATTGCTATTGCTATTGTTATTATTATTATTAATTTTATTAAAAATTATTATTATTATTATTTGTTATTATAAAACGAAAAGAGTGTCACATTATAATTACAATTATATTATTTTTCTTTCATTCATTTTTTTTTCTTCCCTTTTTGACATCTATCAAAAAAACTGTCATTGCTCACAACAATGTAATTTTAACATTACTTTGTGATTTAAAATGAGATGAAATGAAATGTTTGCTTGAAGTTATTGCTTAGCTAAAAGTGAAATAAAAGAAAAAGCATTTTAGAATAACAAAAAAAAAAAAGAAAAGAAAGAAAATAAAAGAAAAGAAGAGGAAAGGAAAAAAAAATAAACTTAAAAGAGAAGCAATACTGTCATTTGTACTCTTTATTTTCAAATAATACTAAAAAAAAAAGACTAAATGAATCTGACACTTAAAAAAAAAAAAAAACAAAGCGATTCTTTCAAGAAGTACAAAAATTTTGTTTCATTATTCAATAAAAAAAGATTAATTTTTTTCTTTTGCATTTTCAAAATTAAATATTATTAAGAAATAAAAATGAAAAGAAAAATGATTTACTGCATCAAATTTTTACTGATATACTTTGATTTAATAATTATTTAAACAAAATATTGTAATAAAATAGATCTAAATTTATGATGAAATTAAATTAAAAACAGCAAATTTTGGAAAAGAAATATATTAAATGAACGAAGAGGATGAAATATAATTTTAAATTATTTTCATACAATATTTTTAATATTTGTTACAATTAATTTAAAATACAATATTTAATTTACCAATTTTTTTTTTTGATAATATATATATATTTATATTGAAGAATTAATTTCATTTTTTTTTCCTACATTTTTACATTTAAATGCATCATTTTTTTGATTGACATTTAAATTTATCATTTAATTATTATTTAAATTATCTTTTGAATATAATTTAAATAATTTAATTTACCATCTTTCTCTCATCTATCACTTTTCATCCCCTTTTTGCTCATTTTCATCCTACCCGCATTTTCTCACACATTTGAAAAGTTCATCTTATACAGAAATTTGAAAAGAATTGAATGTTAAATGATACATACACATACATACATACACACACATACATACACACACATACATACATACATATGCATACATACAATAGAATAGAATGATTGAATACATAATATTTATCACATACAATAGAATTGAGAAGAAGGGAAGTGAGTGTGGTAATAATGCTCAATTGCTAGGGGAGGGGAAGGAGGAGAGAGGGGAGGGGGAGGGAGAGAGGGGGGGGGGGGTAAACTGGAATGAATTGAATTTTTCGTTTATGTATAAAAAGGCAAAATGCAAAATTGCAAAAGGTAAGGCAAAAAGAAGCAGCGATCAGTAGTAGTTTTTGAAGGCAATCAACAATGTCTTCTTCATTTCAATAACAAATTTTAATCTGTGAGGAAGACAAAATGAAAATAATGAAAATGAAAAAAAAAGCAGAAAGGAAAAAAAAAAAAACTTAAAAAAATGCTAATTTTTTATTTCTTAAAATTGTTGTTAAAAAAAAAAACCTTTTTCTTTTTTTTTTTTTTGTTATTATTAATAAATATGAGAAAATATTCTTATCTTATTGATAAGATTTATTAAAATAATTGGAAGTTTCATCACTTTGATAGATTAATTTAATTCTTCAAAAAAGTAAAAGGTGAAAAGATAGCAGTTATGATAAGAATGATTTCTTATCAAGTGATAATTTTGGACTAAACAAAAAGAAATGCTTTATACAGTAATGATTGATTCATATTGATTGCATTATTCATATTGCAATGAAAATTTCTCCTCGAAAAAATAGACTAATCTTATCAGTAATCATTGTTAAATTCTTTTTTTTTTTTTTTGCAAATGATTCCTTTGTTGAAAAAAGAAATTAACTAATTAATTAACTAAAACAATTAATTGATAAAAGATTTTTCCGTTTTAAATTAGTATTACTTTATAATTAGTATATTTTATTCAAATTTAATTACAATTTTTATATTAGACGAGAAATAAGCCAATCTTTTTTTTTTTTTTATGAAAAAGAATGTAACAATGTTTTTTATGTTGTTGATATATTGGGATGATAAACTGATAAATGATAATCATCTTAGCTGTTAAACTAATCATAGTCATTCATTCAATTTTTTTTATTCTTCTGTTTTATCAATTCAACAATTACATTTGTCAATTTTAAACAATCACATAAATTTAGTTTAAGTAAAAACTTATACACTTCTAATAGTACTGATAACTATCAACAGAAATAATCATTATTTGATTAGTGATAAGTCAGCTAATATTTTATTAAACAATAACATAATCAATCATTATTTGAAAAATTTTGAGCAAAAATCTTTATAATTTCTATTTTTAAGAGTATCGTAATTATTATTACTATTATTATTATCATTATTATTATGCATACTTTTATCATTTTCATTGTCATTGTAATCATATAGTTAATTAAATAACTTTATTATTACCATAATCATTACTATCTATCATTGCTGTTATCATCATCATCATCATCATCATCATCATCGTCATCATCGTCGTCGTTGTCCAACAGGGCACAAGACAACTGTCAACTCCGCCTCCAACTAAACATTTGATAGACCCGATTGGGTAGACCCTCTCTCCCCTCTCTTTTACTTCAAGTTAGTTGTTTAGAGAGAGAGAATGTTCTTCTGCAATATACCTTTATACTTTAACAATTGGCAAACATACTTCCTTCTCTCTCTCTCTCTCTCTCTAAAGAGATGACAAATTGAAAGAATGAAAAGAAAGACAGAAAGAGGGAGAGAAAGAGGGCAAGAGAGAAGAGGACTTTTAATAAGAAATATTGTTTATACACAGAGAGAAAGAAATGAAATATACTAGTATAAGAAAGAGAGAAGTAACTATTTTAGTTTTACTTAACTAACTTATATATATAAGTAATATTTGAATGAAATTTACACGGAATAAGAATTAGAGACTTAAAAAATAGAATAGAAGACAGTTAGACAGATTTGAATGGATAATTGATAAAGGATAGAAGAAAAATGATGAAAGAAATATTAGAGTTGTTCATAGAGTTTGGTTGCGCCATTGAAGAATCAGTGAGTTAGTGAATGAGTGAGTGAGTGAGTGCTTAAGTGTAGTCAGTCAGTCAGTCAGTCAGTTAGTGGGTGAGTGAGTGCTTAAGTGCAGTCAGTTAGTCAGTTAGTCAGTCAGTTAGTGAGTGAGTGAGTGAATGAGTGAGTGAGTGCTTAAGTGTAGTCAGTGAGTGAGTGAGTGAATGAGTGAGTGAGTGAGTGAGTCAGTCAGTCATTTGATGATAGTCGAAGGCATCTTTCTCTCTTCTGCTCCCATACCACTGCCTTTCAGTTTTGACGACAAACTTACGACTACTCTGATTAGTACTGTAACTTGTCTTCATTATCCTATCATTATTATCTCTTATCGTTATCATTATCATCGTCATTGTTATTACTACTGTCAGCATCAATCATCATTATTATTATTATAGTTAGCATCTATTATCATCATCGTGAGTACCTGTTATCATCATTACCATTACCGTGCGTATCTATCACTATCATTATCGTCAGCATCTATCATCATCATTATCATTATCGTCAGCATCTATCATCATCATTATCATTATCGTCAGCATCTATCATCATCATTATCATTATCGTCAGCATCTATCATCATCATTATCATTATCGTCAGCATCTATCATCATC